TTGGGTCTTTCCTGGGTGATAGCAGTGTCTTTTGTTCTACTGAAGTGACTCTTGGTGGGCTCCTGGATGGAAGTTGGACACCATGCAAGACCAAGCCATGATTATGAGCTTGGAATTTTTAGCCGTCCCCCTTTCCCCCCCAATCTCCAGAGATGACAGGGGCTGGAAATGGAGTTGATCAAAATGCCTATGTGACAAAGCCTCCATAAAAAGCCCAAAAATATGGGGTTCAGGGGAGCTTCCAGGTTGGTGAACATATCCATGTACTATGCAGGTGATGCACCCAAACTCCGTGTGGACAGAAGCTCCTACACCAGGGACCCTCCAAGACAGCTCACTACCTTATCTCTTTATCTAGCTGTTTGTATCTTTTATCATATCCTTAAATAAACTGGTAAACCTAAGTATTTCCTTAAGTTCTGTGAGCTGTTCTAGGAAATAATTGAATCCAAGGGGGAGGAGGGTCATCAGAAATTCCAATTTGTAGTCAAGTCACACAGAAGTTGTGGGTCACCTGAAGTGAGGGTGTAGTCCCATGGGACTGAGCCCTTAACCTGTGGAATCTGATGCTATCTCCAGGTAGACGTTATGTGATAGTATAAGAACTGATTAAAATTGGAGGGCGCCTAGTTGGTGTTGCAGAATTGCTTGGTGTGGGGAATAAAGGCCCACACATCTGGTGTCAGAAGTGTTGTGAGTGGGGTAGCAGCGTAAGTAAAGGAGAAACACACAGAGGGAGCAGTTTTCCCCAAACAGTAATACGATAAATTCTAACACAATACTAATAACCATACTCACTTCTGATCCCAACACCGGGGTATTTTACAGGCCCAAAATGACCATAATAAAAGATTCTATAAAGCACTTGAAAAGTAGCACTGGAAGCGGTGAGGTAAAGTAGCTTTAAAACTTGTGCTGACCATGGATCCCTTTTTCTTACTGTTTCTCCTTCCACTAATCGCCCTGTAATTTTTAAGAGCTAATCTGGAACATGGAACATAAATTTTTTTTTTTTTTTGGTGAGGAAATGAATCCTGGTTCTTCTATGTATTAGCTTGGCAAATCATTGAACTTCAGTGTTCTTATAGTACGTAAAATGGAGACAATATCTATTACAAATCACAAAGTTACTATGAGGCTTAAGTGAAATAATGTATTTGAATGTTCCTTAGCTTACTACCTGCTTAATAAGTGTTAGAGGTGAACTTAAAATTTAAACACACATGCGTAAAAACATAAAGGCTTTCTGATAACTGTGGAGGATTAAAAGATTGCAAAGTTTAAGTAGAAAGAGCAAGTAAGTTTTTCTACATTAGAAAAACAGGTTAAAGGTAGTATTAGGCCATATTTAAAATAATAATCATCATTATCTGTAGCATTTTTCATTTATATCATCATCATCATCATCATCATCATCTCCTTTACTATGTGCCAGACACTATGCTTGGCATTTTAAAGCACCTTATGTCATTCTTACAACAATTATTAAGATATTTACTACCATTTTCCAACAAGGAAATCAAATCCTGACTAGACTTTAAATTAAATATAGGAAGAGATTTTGTCTGTATTATGCATGATCACCTAGCAGGTGGCCTGGTGGATGGTAAGCACTCAAAAATAAGAATTAGATGGATGGGTGGATGATGAAGGGAAACTCTCCAAAGTTACTTGCTGAGGTCACACAGTAAATGGTGATATCTGGATTTACACCTGAGTCTGGCTGACTCTAGAGACCATGCTTTTACTTAGTATGTCTAAATCTTAGAAAGTCCTCATCAAANCAGAAAATTCATTTCTCAACAGCAAAAAGAATACTGTGAACATAACTTTAATTTCTAACTGTGGTAGTAGCCACAAACAAAAAGGATTACAATAAAATTTTAAAATTAAAACTGAATCACTGCAAGTCATAGCTATGATGCTTTCTACATTTAAATAATGATAAAAACATTAGAAAAGATACAAAGTACTGTACATATCAATTGTTGCTGAAAAACGAGTCAATGACTATGGAAAATATTAGCTGGCTTCTTGGCCAGCTGTGGAAATATTGCTTCATTTCATATTACTGAGTGATCTTCATCCCAGAATTACATTCTCAAAACATTTTCAAAACATTTCAAACTATATTTCAAAGCTATAATACATAATCCAAAATTTATTGAACAGCTAAAAATTTTTTCAACATCCATGGGCCAAAGAGAGATACAAGTTTGACAGGAAAGCGTTACTAACTGAGGTTCATTATGAGTATCTTGAAATCCTGTTAGTCTATTCTCAACTTGATAATGTCAAATGCCACAACCAAAAAGGTAAGATCTTAAAAGTTAAAAGTTTCTCAGTCTTTCTTGGCTTCCAAATTTTCCCAATTATACCTCTATGAAACTGTTAATAGTCACGGCTTACTAGTCACAAAAAAAGAGCATATCAAGGTTCAGGGAGCCAATACTGTCTTCCCCAGGCTCACCCTGCTGCCATAATCAGAACTACTACCTCCTCTTTCAGATGCTCCAAAGCTCCCAAGTCACTAGATAAAAATCTCTTAACACTGAAAACAAATGGCTAAGTGTTAAGATTAATATAAAGGACTTCTAAGATAAATCTGAAAACTAGTAACAGGATGTTAAATAATTTCAACTACTAAAAACACATGACCTATAAACCCACTCATTTTAATGGAAAACTTATTAATCTTAATCAAGTGACATGTTAAGAGTACCTAGTTAATGAAATGGAAAGTGGGAATCAATTGCTACCTTGGAAAAAATATGGTAAAAATTAAAATGGTATTTCCAGTCTAACATTATAGCAACTCAGCAAATGTTTAAGGTTTTTACAACATGAATCACCCCACAAAGAATAGAATACCTTATAGACATACATGACAATGTAACTTCTATTTTTATCCTTATAAGTGGGAGGGTAGAAAATTTTGCCATCCTCAAAGAATCCACACTTAATTCATAAAATTAGTTGGAAAGAGACTAATAAATTCCTGAAGAGTAACACTGTTGTTGTTTTTTTAAAAAATTAGCTGAATTTTATAATAAAAATGTTTTAACACAGTGACAAATCAAAATTTAAGAGAAAGTGGTCAGAGGCAAAAACAGTTGTCAATGATGCAAATACTAATACCTTAAAAAAACAAAGATACTAACAAATGAAATAACATAGAAAGAATTCTGTACATTTACAGTTGATATATGACAATCAATCAAAACAGAGTCTGGATTCCATAAAATAACTAAAAAAAAAAGAGTGATATTCTTTTTTACTCAGTTATATCTGTATTGATTGACTAGGTAGAAAACTAACATTTAAATCAAGCATTAAATGCCTACAGAGAGGCTATTTAACACATACTTATTTTCTGGTATCAGCAAGTAAGTGGCAGATTCAAATTTTAATTTTAAAAAATCAGACAATAGTGAAAATAGATAATGGTGACCATATCTTTATCTAATTTGATTTTTCTATTCATCATTACAGATGAGTAGAAAGAATGAGTAGAAAATCAAACAAGGAGTACATTCAGTAACTAATAGCATGAGCCACACCAGAACACATTAAGAACAACTTCATGTAACGTGAACACTTGCACAGTAAAACTCAGAACAGCAACGACAAAACACTGGCTCATTAATTTAGATTAGAATTTTACAAAGATAGTTAAGTTATCACTCCTAACTAGATGTTCAAGGAAGTGGTATGTGAAAAGCCAAAATCTGAACTACAAGAAGATGCATAACTTCCTTCTTCCAGGAGGTGGCACAATAGGTGAAGGAAAAAAAAAAGGGGGAAAAAAGACACAACTGAAAACTCTTCCCTACACTGATTAAAAAAAGAAGAGAATGAAGCAGAACAGATGCACAGATACTTATACATACCTTCCTAAAAGGCTACTGTAACTATTCTAGGTATTAAAGAATCTACTAGTGTCAAAATGCTTGCAAACCATTTATTTGTAAGAGCCTGCCAAAACTTTTCCATGTAAGACTCATTTAGCATAGTTCATTAATTTAATTTCAAATTTTTACCGACAGTAAAGCTATCAATCATAAATAGTTTTTTTACAGGAAGTGGCACATAAAAGGGGTTATGTCACTTTTTGGACAGATAACCCATATTAATATTCAAAAGGCTGTTTAAAGAAATATGAGTCTTCATAAACCCAAAAGCAAATTTTTACTAGGAAAATCTCTTAAGATAAATTATCTTTTAAAAAAATAACATGGAAAAGTTATTAAATTACACATTTGTCCAAAATATGAGTTATTTGAAAACACAATGCCATAAAAAAGCATTAACAATAGCCATTATAGCCATGTTCATTTTGTTGACTTCATCAAATTATAATTTAACATGAGTAGCAACACTGCCTTAGGTTTATATGCGATCATTCTTCCAAGGACTCTATCCATAAATGTGCTTGTATAGGAGACACAACTGAAGCAATACAACATATTTTAAGAAAATATATATTTCAGTGATTCCTCCTTGAAATGATCCCAGAAATTAACTGTTGGTAAAACTGGAAACTGAAAGTAACCATATTTTTAAAAACATATACATGGGCACACACATAATACGTACATGATAACAAAATCTAAATAAAAACTGAATTATTTTCTTTCCTTGCAAATCAGAAATACTTCTTTTAAAAAAGCATCATGGCTGTATAGTGACACATTAAAAACCTAGAATACGATAAAAAAGTAAATTTAATTAGATTTAAACATTGAATATCTTTACCCTTAGAATAAAACACTAATGGAATTAAAATTTTACTTGTAAGAAAAACATAAAGGCTCACCAATTAAGACCTGCTGTTGATTAGACAGAGATGAAAGGAGAAAGGTGTGCCTAACTTAAAAAGTGTTACAGGTATGAACCAAACTTACGTTCTGTGTATGAGGTTTCTGATTAATGAATGCATGCTTTGTCAAATTCATCTCTTTTACGTCTATCTTCCTAACAACGTCATATACTTTTCTGACCTTGAACACCTGGCTTCTTGGAGTTTTATTCCCGTTGTAGCCCATATCGATTCCATTACTGGGAGAGGATGGACCAATTCGAAAGACATGACAAAATATCCTCACAATCCTTAAAAGGCTCTTCATTTGAGCATCATAATTACTAGATAGGCTAAAAATAAAAATTAAAATATGAACAGATTAGATGAAATAAAACAAATTACATCTTAAAATATTTTAAAACATTTTTATCAACTGACCATTTCATGAATAAAATTCCTTTCCCATTATGAAAGAGGATGGAATGTTTTTTGTTTAATAGGAATTTACCAAATATATATTACTTGGATTGCATATAAATTATTAATTTTTAAGCCACCAGAATATAACCAATGATGAAGATATAACCAAATATAACTAAATATAACCAAAGTATGAAGAAAAGCACCACTGTAGTTGGTTTCTTGNATATAAAAGTCCTAAAAACAAAGGTGCCTAAAGATGGGGGGAAATCAATGTGTGCCTATAGTACACATGAAAGAAAGTTAATTAATTATAATGTTTTATGCAAAATACCTAGAGAAAAACAGTGACTCAGAAATAGTTCCTGTAATTTTAGGTCAAAATCAGTTTAAAAATGACTCACTCACAGAAATACTGCATCATTAAGTAGTGCTCAGAATTAGAACAGAAGTAATACAAAGAAAAACAAAAAAGGTAGGTATGGTGGGAGCAAATTCGTATTCCTTAGAAAGACAACTGTATAGCTATGAAATGGAATGAGGACAATGCAACTCTGTGCTCACAGGGGCAAAATACCCACAAGGCAGATACAGGCATTTCCATTTCACAATTCAAGAAACTTGACTTAAAGTTGTATAGCATTGGGACTGGGATTTGAACCCTGCCTCCAAAACCTAGGCTCTTTCGCCTATATATCTCAATACCTTTTGAGTTTAATTCAAAATAAAAAAAAATCGTTTTGATAGTTGATCCTTACATAAGATATATGATAATACATCTAGCAATATCTCTTAACCAATAAAAATTTACATTAAGTTTAGCTTTTTTAATCTTAGGGCCCTATAATTTGTCTGCTGGGTCAATTTGTCCCATTTCCCATATTTCTTTCCCTTTCATTCATCAGAGACCATACATAGGGAATAATTTATATTTTTAATGTATACCTATATCTAGATAATACAAGTACAATTAAAAGTCTGCCTACAAATGAACCATGTTCCATATCTATCATCCTGCCACAATAATGAATTCCTTTTTCAGTTTCAATTTAACCAGATTTGCTTAGCCATCTTTGTTCAAAGAAATCTAATGTTTGCTAGATTAAAATAAAACTTAATGACAGCAATACAATACTAGCAGTAAGTACTTCTAAAAAAATTATTTTACCATATATCTATGCTCAGACTAACTATATAAATATCCCAGTTCTGTACAATACTAATATATTTATATTTTATTATTATGCATGGCATTGTTTTACATAGTTTCCAAAGATGTAATTACAGTGACTCAGTCACAAAACATTTAGTAAGTAGGTAAGCACAAAGCACTGTACTACACATTGAATATAAAGTGGTGAATAAAATAAACAAAATTCTTGCTTTCACTGAGCTTTTGGTCTAGTAGAGAAGACCCATTGTAAANAAAACAAAGTTCCTAAAGGAAAACTTGTAGACCCCACAGGTTAGGATCTTACTCCCACAAGAGTGCCCCCACTTCTGAAGCCAATCACAAGGGTCAGGCCACCCATACTTCTGACTAATCAGCTGTAATTCAGGAGTTCCCACAATCCCCTCCTTGAGTTTGATCATTTGCTAGAAGAGCTCACAGAACTAAGAGAAACACTTTATTATTACTGTTCATTATAAAGGATACAACCTGGGAACAGCCAAATGGAAGGTTCACAGGGCAAGGTATGCGGGGAGAAAGGGGCGCTGGGCTTCCTGCTCTCTCTGGGCATGACGCCCTCCCAGCACTCGGACATGGTCACCAACCCAGAATGTCTCGGAGAACCCTACTGTTCAGGGTTTTTAGGGAAGTTCCATTGCACAGGCATGACTGAGTAAATCACACTGCTGATTGTACTGAAGCTCCAGTGCCAGCGACCTGAGAGTGAAGGAAGAGGCTGCCCTCCCATCACATGGTTGGCACCTCTGGCAACCAGCCGCCATGCTGAAGCTATCTAGGGGTGTTCAGCCACTAGTCATCTCATTAATAACCAAAAAGATATTCTTATCACTCTGAAGGGTCCAAGGGTCTGAGAAGGTCTTGTGTCAGAAATGGGATGAAGACCAATATATATTTTTTATATCACAGTTCTTTATAAAGATCATATTCTTCACAGAATAAAAATCTTTGTACCCACCCTCTCATTTGAGAAAAAAGTGATTTTACCAGTCTCAGTTTCTATTATAAAGCAAGGGGCTAGGAATATATATTAACAACATACCTGTACACATAAATCCAGAGGGGTTACTCCATTTTTATCTGGCAGATATTTGGCTCCTCGTAATAGAAGAATCTGTGCTGTGTCTCTCTGGCCATGACTGTACAGAAATAGAACCAAGTTAAAAATATATTCCTTTTAATTTAGTCTTTCTCTATGAATTAGGAACAGTTAATATGAATCAACAGAGGATTAACAATTTCAAAAAATTGAGAGGAAGATCTGAACTATATCCTCAACAATCAGGAAAACTTTTCCCAATGTTAAGTCCTACTTTTGCTATGTCCTATTAAATACTAGAATTTAACTTGAGACACATTTCCTACAATAAATCATAATATTTGAGGATAAGTAGCTGCTACTAAAGTTTATACTTTATTTTTTTCTTCCAATCACTTTCTTCTCAACTCTAACTTGACCTTCTTTCTACCACACACATCTAAAAGAATCTCAATACTCAAAAAAAGAGTACATTTTATGGCATTTTTATACTAGGTAAAAAAAATAAAAAGGAAGGAAGAAGAAAAGAAAAGAGAATGGGGGGAGGGGAAGAGTTAATTAGCCAAAAACATTATCTGGTTTCCAATCTTCATTTTATCAACCCACTCAGTTTGGCTTCTGCTGATAGCTATTCAATCTGAGGTAGAATGGACAACTCTTTTATCCACATGCCCCTTTCTCTCTAATTACTCTCTTTCTTGTAAGAGTAAAATTAGTAACTTTCAGCCAGAGGAAGTTACTTTGGGGGTAGCAACCACTAGACCCTGTTATTCAATGAGCTAATCTGATCCTAGATACAGGCAATAAAAAGTAAATTTACAATCCAGAGACATTAAAGTTTAAAGCTAATTTTACAAAACACCTAAGAAGTCATACAGTTTGGAAGACTATCTGATCAAAAAAATTTATTTTGTAGATGAGAAAAGCTACTACCTCAAGCATAAGTGAAACTAGAACTCAGATCTCTGGTCCTGTAGACCAATACTCTTTCCATAATAGTAAAAGGTATGTCATTTCACAAAGAGAAAGACTACACAGATTTCCCTGAAACTTAAAAAACAAAACAAACAAAAAACCTATTATTTTCTACAGAATGACACTGCATGAAGCATATCTTATAACCAACTGGAATTAAACTTAAAAAATAGGCTCCTACTACTATAAATCTGGTGTCATATAATTATAGTTACATCACTCTCTTGATCCTTTATTGTAACACTGATTATCTTCCTTAATATAAATATGAATAGTCCAAAACTAACGTAAGAAAATTATCTAATTTACTCCAGAAAAAGGAGAAAATCAAGAACCAAGTTATTTAATATCCATGTGTCCAATCTTTCCAATTAAACTTGACAATACAACTTTTTGTTTCATAGCACTAAGCATGGTAGTGGCTTATAATAAGTATTCAATACAATTACATTTTAACATTATACACCATTCGCTTGACAAGCATTTAAGAATGAGCTGCACTACAGAAAAAATAACGGAGATCTGAATTGTAATTTAGAATCTACTAGATGACAAGCATAATGTTCAGGTCTTTTGATAAAGTCTGATTTAATACTGACATTGTTATAAAAAAAAGCATTCACTCCATTTTTCAGTTGAGAAAACAATATCTCAAGAGTATAATGGAGTAGATCAAGGTCAACAGTTATAAGGTGGAGCAGAATCTAAATCTAGATCAGGCTGATTCCAAAATCCTTCATCCGTATCATTCTATTTCAACCACGATGAATACACAGTTTACCCTCAAACAGTAAACAATTTAGCATTTAATAAAGTATGACATAACATACAAGGGAATGTATATATACTATGAGAACAATATGATGGGGGTCACACAGTATGAACAGACAAGATCACCATGTAGAAATGGGATGTTGTTCAATACATATGGTTTAAAAAAGTCTCAAAATAATTTTGTACCATATATAGCAAAGGGGATAATTAGCTTGAAGAAGAAAGATACCACTATGACATTTTTAGAAAGATGGAGTAATTTCTAAAACTACGTTAAAACATCATCTATGATCAGGTGACATTTCATTTCAAAAATAAATTAAAAGCAATAGCTAATAATATACAGAAACTGCATAACCCAATTAGGTCCTCAAGTGCCACATCAGTAATATTGCAAGAGATTAGACTACTCTCCGACAGACTGCTCAGTGTTGCACAGAAGATTTTTCAGTTCAAATAACTGCAAAAATTTGCTCTATCAATAATTATTCTTTACAATTCAACTTATTTTAAATATTGATTGAGATAATACTCCCTGCGATGACATGCCAATGTATTTCCTGGAAACTAAGAAGTTGGCATAGATTTAACTAGTAAGAAACCTGTAGTGCTTCTAAAGCACTTACAACTGATTTCTTAAGCACTTTCAGTCTCTTAACTTTTTAGCCTCTTTCAGCAATATGACTTGGAAACTTGGCTGAAGTGCATATAATACACATATCGCCATATTTCTTGGAACAGATTATGAAACAGAAACCTATTTTCTAATGGTTCTTTCCTGTTCTAAAAGTTAACAATTCTGAGCCTATGGACTGCTTTATGTGGCTGCTTTAACTTTGAGTTCACTAATTGAAAGGAGTTGTTTGGTAGTAGCTACAAGTCCCTGTG